GAGAACTCTGGATCTTATGAACAGCGAGTCAGCCAACTTCTCAACGTGCTGCAAGAAAGGCGCTGTTGTTTTGCCAGTCAAGTACAATGAAATTGAATATCCCGATTTCTTAAGGTCATTGTTAGTGGGGCAAAGTACATGTGCGTGTCTGAAGCTTTCTCATACTCAATCACTAAAAGCAAGCTGACTGGGATTTTATTAACATTTCCAGTTGCACGTAATTTCCAACGACACATCAGAGGATATAACAATTCGCTGGCTTTTGCATCCTGTGGTGCCACTGTGGACAGGTCTGTGCAAGGCCAAGCTGGAATCTTTACGTTCCGGGTTAATGGAGGACTTTATCACGATATCGGTTCTGTGTTTCCAGACAACAATTCAAGAGCAGCATTTTCTCAAATCTACGTCACCGGAGGAAATGATCGGAGCGAAGCAGAACATCGAGCGGCTCAATCAAGATCTGATCTACATATCCCTTTACTGTTCAGAATCCAATCCTTCCTCACAAATCACAACACCTATGCTCAGTTCTTCCGAATGATTGGACATACTAGGTCTCCGAGCGACAATTCAACATATGTTCTCCAGAATTTTGCGAGAGCCGGACTAGACCAACGCGTTTACAACGAGCCAAGAACTCTTGAGGTTGGGATGGTGATCAACAATGATAACGATGAAGAAATCTTACCGAGGAGCATTATTCTCAGGACAACAGGAGGTGGTCTCTATCATGTTACGGACGAGTTCAGTGGTTATCTTCCAATTCGGTATCCACTTTTTTTTTCGTTCGGGGATCAAGGTTGGATTGATGGGTGGCCTAGCTCAACAGACAGAGGTATGTCTCAATTGGAAAATTCTTCACATCAGATTTCACCTGAGCTGATCAATATCATAACTTGATTGTATAAGATGCCACAATCTCCCAATGCGAGTGGTACGCGAACATGATCTTTGACAGGTCACGAAAGTTTTCAGCTATTCTCAATGGAAAGACTCTCTTCCAGGAGATAGTAACCGATCTGTATTTGTGTGTCGAGCGATCTAGAATAAACTTTGTAGTGTTCAATCAAGCTCAATTGAAAGCTGAACTGTATTCCGGAATCCAAGAAGCTTTCAGGAATGACCTTGATGTTGCTGGAAGGAGGGTAATATTGCCTTCGTCTTTTTCGGGCTCGCCGCGTAATATGGTGCAACTCTATCAAGATTCAATGGCGATAGTACGAGAACTTGGAAAACCATTGCTTTTCATCACAATGACTGCAAATCCCCGTTGGGAAGAGGCAATTGCTGCGCTGTTTCCACATCTAGACCCAGCCAACCGGCCCGATTTGGTGACCCGTCTCTTTCGACTAAAACAGAAATCATTGATTGAAGACCTGGTCAAACATCACCGACTCGGAAAAGCAGCTGGACACGTTTTCACTATCGAATTTCAGAAACGTGGATTACCTCATGCTCACATCATGGTGATACTCGAACCGGGCAGTGTTCCCAGAACACCATTTGCTGTCGATTGCTTGGTATCAGCCGAAATACCAGACCCAGACGAGGAACCCGAGCTGCATCAAATCGTAACAAGCTGCATGTTGCATGGACCTTGCAATGCAAACAGTCCATGTTGGAAGGATGGTGCTTGCAGCAAGAACTTCCCAAAGGAATTTTGTAACGAAACAACAATGGTGGAAGACGCATACCCAAAGTACCGCAGGCGAGACAACGGCCGAAGATTTTTCAAGGGAAACAACGAATTTCACAATGGACATGTCGTACCGTATAAAAAGTTCTTGACGTTGAAATACAGGTGCCACATTAATGTGGAAATACCATATGGGATCGGTGCGATGAAATACCTGTTCAAGTACATCTGCAAAGGAATTGATCGATCTTCATTAAGGATGACCAATGGTGACGAGACAAGGCGGTTCATAAATGGACGTTACATTGGCCCTTCTGAAGGTAAAATTCTTTCTCTTGCTTCTACTTTCATGGCATGACACAAATTGTTTTGTACTCTCTCAAACAATTATTGGTCTGACATTATCTTTTTTGTGCAATAGCTGTTTACAGATTGCTGCAATTCCCAACAAGCAAAAGATACCCGCCCATTCAACGTCTGGCCCTCCATCTTGAACATGGACATACTGTTTTCTTCAGGGACGAATTTGGATTACGAAGGCAAATGAGGAGTGGCTCAGCATCTCGAACTACTTTGACAGAATTCTTTGAACTAAACAGGTCAAATGCAGTCAGCAATGGCAGGTCGGCTCGGACGTTACTTTACCATGAAATCCCGAAATGGTTCTCATGGACAAAAGACAAACACTGGAAGCCAAGACAACAATGCTCCGACATGATAGGAAGAGTTTACTATGCTTCAATCAATGAAGGCGAACGATACTTTCTGCGTCTGTTACTCCTCAATCGAAGGGGTCCCACAAGCTTCGAGGATCTCAGAACTGTAAACGGTACCATATGTCCTACTTTTCGCGAAGCCGCTTATTCCCTGGGTCTCTTGGTCTCCGATCAGCACTATCATCGATCAATGCGAGAAGCAGCCGAATGGATGACCGGTTCAGAGCTCCGTTTCATGTTCTGCATGTTGTTAATTCATAGCCCACCTTCTGATCCACAAGGCCTTCTGGAGTCTTTCATTAATCCTCTGTCCGATGACTTGATAAGGACATTAGAACGACAGTATCTAATCCCCAACCCTTCGACCGAAGATCGGAATTCATTAGCATACTTCTTATTAGCCGAAATACTTACAGAGCATGGAAAGACCTTTACCGACGTTGGCCTTGCATGTCTGAACTCACACAATCGGCATCTATGGAATATATTCGAAGGCGATCCTGTGGAAGAAGATCTGGATGTACAGGGACATGTGTCCAAATTCCTCTCAATGTCTGAGCGTCTCAACGAGAGACAGGTGTTGATCATGGAAGCTGTGATTGAATTGACGGACAGAAATGAAACCGGACTCATGTACATTGACGGACCTGGCGGTTGCGGGAAGACTTTCCTCATGAATACGATCATCCACTACCTCAAAGGAAATCAAATTCCGGTCATAACAGTTGCGTCTTCAGGTGTAGCCGGTCTTATGCTGTATCAAGGAATGACAGCTCACTCTCAATTCAAAATCCCCTTGGATGTTTCTTCAACTACTCAATGTGTCTGGAAATCAAACTTGGCTTCAACTCAGCTCCTTCGAGATGCCAGTGTGATCATCTGGGATGAAATTTCAATGCAGAGTAGACATGCTGTGGAGGCAGTGGACCATGCATTTCAAGACCTGATGGACAATGACGAGCCTTTTGGAGGAAAAATTATTATTTTCGGTGGGGATTTCAGGCAAACATTACCGGTGGTCAAGCGAGGAACAATATTAGATCAAGCTGAAAAATGCATGATCAACTCGCCGCTTTGGACTAATGTGTACATTTTCCAACTGACTCAGAATATGCGATTACAAAATTCGGGTGATGGCGAGGCATTGGACTTCTATAACTGGCTCCTGCAAATTGGAAATGGGGAGGGCCAATCCGACTTTTCCTCTGACATTGACTTGAAGTATGGACGAGTGTTCAAAAATCAATCGGAATTTCTGGTCCAAACTTTTGTCACCAATTCGGTCTACGGAGAAATGAATTCGGTATACGATTCTGCAGATCTGGATCGACTATCAAACTATTTCAGCTCTCGCTTGATCCTAGCTCCTCTGAACGCTGATGTCTCCCGAATCAATGAAACATGTACAACAACGTTTCGTGGTCAGATATTTGTTTCCCATTCAATTGACGAGATGGCTAAAGAAGACAATGGGTTGGATAGTGATGAGGCTATTCCGGAAGAAGTCTTGAACACATTCACAATTCCTGGGTTTCCATCTTCGAAGCTGGAATTGAAAGTTGGGATTCCGGTAATATTACTTCGTAATCTGAATCTGAAGAGAGGTCTGTCAAATGGGACCCGACTCCTTATTCTCGGTATAAAGCCACATGTGTTAAGATGCAGAATATTGACCGGTTGCCGTGTTGGACACACTGTCCTTATACCAAAGATCAAGCTGATTCATAAAGCCGATGAGACCTACGGAGTTTCCTTTAACAGATATCAATTTCCAGTTGCGGTGGCATTTGCGCTAACAATTAACAAAGCTCAAGGGCAATCACTGGATGTGGTATCTGTGTACCTGCCTCAGCCTGTATTCGGACATGGCCAATTGTATGTTGCGCTATCGAGGGTAACAAATATTCGTGGTTTATCGTTGGGGATTGTGGGTGGCGATGGGGAGAAGAAAACCACCAATGTGGTGAATTTGGATGTCATTTGGAGGTGTCAAGGGAGTTGATGAGTGCGTATAATTCACATTACTTGGCTATTGTTACTTTGTCTGGACAATGATATATTGACAGTCTCTGCTCTGCTCTTTATATATCTCTTGCAAGATGTGTTTCTCAGCATTTCCTCAAGATCAGATCAATCAAAAATGTCCTTATCTGTTCCAGAGGCTCAGTTTTCATTATTTAATTGCCTCTTTTCTATTTTCCATTTCAATTGCTACTCAATTTCATGATCTAATGTTGCCTCTTTTCTTTTTTTCCATCTCATGCTCACTTTTATCTCTTTTTTTTGTATTTTCTCACTCAGATTAGCATGTTCCCTCCCATGTTCCTATCATCACATTATCACATGTTTCACATTATCACATGTTCATGTTCCTAGGGGCCCGCTGCGGCTCTGCCGCGCGGGTCCCCTAGTTGCAATAGGGGAGTTGGGGAAGGGGTGGGAAAGTGGTGTATGCTTGGTTATGCGAGGTAGATTTTAGGATGGCGATTTTGGACGATTTGAAAAAAGGCGATGACATAAAATAAAAAGGAAGAAGCCCCCAATACATGTACATATTAGTAGAGATGGGTGCAACCCTGTGAGCCACGGGAGTCCACGGGGTAAGTTTGTATTGGAGAAGATCGGTCGATGATCAGGATTGACTGCATACATGGTCAACAACAAACAACCAACCATCGACCTGGAGAGATCAGACAAACCATCATCTGGTAAGCAAACAAACAAACAAACACATTGGAGTGCTGCTTAGAGGAGATAGGACTACAAGTATCGTTGATGTACATACTGACTGCGCTGCCCTTCCTCTCAAACAGCTCAATCAAAAGAATTCGATACGTTCCAAGTTCTGAATATTTATTTCTGCACAGTAGACATTCGTACGCATGAAACTATTCGATGGGTGGGATCATGTGGGGGCAAAGACATGGTTAGTACTGCACACTTCTTATCTCCTTTCTCAAGTACAATTATTTCCATCGTCCTAAGCTCCTTCATCACCTTCCACACCACGCAGGGTCGCCAATCCGGCCCGGTCTGCCACTGGCACTCCTGGCCTCTCGGGCTCTACTTACACTCGTGGATCATTCTCAAGACGTCCATCCATTAGCAGACTAGATTCTGTTCGACAGCATCAATCGATCGATGAGCAAAGTCGGAAGCTGAAAGAGCTGCGATTGGCTGAGCTCACCAGACAACTCGAGCTCACCGAACTCCAACACAATCGCCCTCATCCTCAGTACCATCCACCTGTCCCTCCACCATCAATGTCTCGGCCAATGACGCCTGTCAGCACGTTATCAGTTGAAAAGGGTGGCCCTCCCCTCAGCGATGAAGATCTGATTTGGGAACAAAAGCGACGAGAAGCTGATGAGTTAAACGCGAGGATCGAAGCACTCCGGCAAGCGGGCATGCCCTCATCCGAACTTCCAAGTCCAGTCTTGCTGCCCATTCGGCCATTATCAAAGACCCGGACAGACAAGCCGAATCTGAACTGCGTTCCGCCTCGTGACTACCCGGTCCCACCACTTCCATCCTTCCCAACCGAGGCTGGACTAAGACGTCAGGCTTCCAAAAAATCATTACATTCCATCTCTTCTCATCATTCAAAGTCGCCCGCACCACCGCTCTCTCAACCGAATCAGAACCGAGATCGGACTGCAAGTGTAAGCGACACGAGTTACTATTCAGCCCTCAAAGAAGCCGAAGGTGTGATTTCCAGCCTGCGTAAATCACACGACGACCTACTAGAGAAAGTGACCCGTTTGGAGAATCAATTGGACCTCAAAGAGGCCGAGAATCAAGACCTGACCACTCGTAATAACCGATTGGAGACCTACCTTGTCGATGAACAAAAGGCCAAAGAGAACATTCAAAGAGAAAACGAGCGAGCGATGAACCAATTAAGATTGCTCTCACGAAGCCAACCTCCTCATCCTCTCAACAGAGGGGACCCGCCAAGCCGACTACATACTCCAGCCGAACCGTCTCAATCCCTTCATGGACACAACCATCTTTCTCCATCTGGGTCTGGGCCACTAGACCAAAAACTTTCACAAGCGAGGGCGGAACTGTTGAGACGAGAAGAAAATGCACAGAAACAATACGCCTACAGAACTGCCTCTCTTACTTCAGAGCTCAGTGGGCAAGGATCCACGGTGAGTGAACGTCGAGAGACAAGTTTGTTGAAAGCCGACAGCAAGTGTTAATGATTCAACCTCCCACCCCTGAAAAAAAAAAAAAGTCAGGACACAGCCATCCCTCACCTGCGCCCATGAGCAAAGGATCCCAACCACAACATCATCGCAATCTCTATGAACCAACACAGCCTAGTGGATACCAATTCCCGCCCAATCCACAACATCTAAGTCACCCCTTCCATCCAGAAGGACACCGTGAAACAGGCCTCCCAAGCCACCCGGCCTCAATGCCCTTCCATCGACACCCCGACCCTGCCTATCCTCCTGAAATGGCTTATCCGACTTACCCGCACCCTCAAGGCCCATCGGTCTATCCTCATCAATTCTCTCGCTCACATCCGCTTCCTAAACCTGCGATCGACGAGCCTTCCTTAGCTCAAAACGGCTTCCATCCTCCTCATCCTGCTAATCCTATCTATCCTCAATACTGAACACCAGCTCCTCAATAAAGAACACACACCTACCAAACAGTCAATCTATGCTGATCGGTCGACCTAGACACTTTTTTTATAAACAAAACACTACCTCCATAGTTTGCTTGCTCTAAGTTTCTTTCTCCAGATTATGTATAGATAGAAGACCTCTCACATTCGCAAATTTACTTTCCTTCCTCTGCTTGGCTTAGTCATTATCATTGAATCTTGTTGTTGTTACTCTTGTGCTGCTCTTGCTACTACCACTCCTACCACTCTACTGCTACTGCTAGTACTATTGCTGCCGCTACTGCTGCTTGTGTTTACATCCTACCTTCTCTTGCTCAAGTTATCCATACTCTCTTGAATGTAGACCTGTTCTGTCCATCTACAGCTACACTTCATCCAGAGCAATCGTATTGCTCTTTTTGTTTTCTTTCTGCTCTACATATGCATAAAAATACACTTATTTCTCTATGTATCTCAATCTGTTCACTTGCTCTGGCTTGGCTCTGCCGTCTTGATTAATCATCTCCTTCTTCACTTGACCACTTGGTTGCTAGAAATCCTGAACAGACTTCTTTGTTCCCTGGTTCCACTGGGATTATCTTGTTAGATCTGGCAATACAATCTGGCTTCTCCACGACTGCAAGATGATCCAGGATGGTCTTTCCTTTGGAGTTCTGTATGGATGAGCACTGGAAAAGAAGAATCATTGAGTCCGTTTGTTTTTGATTATGTAATAACCGCTGAGTAATAATCTTCAAAACTGCTCATAGATAAATAAAATTCTTCCCCATGATGTGTTTGTTAACACTAGTGTATACCTTCTTGCCTATCAAATCAAGCATGTAGGCCTCTATGTTTTTTTTTTTTTAAAAAAAAAAAAGAATGTCCAGGATGGAAGTTGTATTGTCAAAATAACACAGGATGATGGATTGGAAGTACATGAGACATACATATCAAGAAGATTAGATGGCTCGTTCTTGGCGGAGCTGGAACTCCCTAGGAAAAATCACACAGATTAAGTGAGGGAGGAACACGGGGGATACAGTACATGCACAAATGATGGATAACTTTTGGGAAAAAAAATGGAAAATGAAAAAAATGATGTTGGTGTTGAGTATGAATGAGTTGACAGAACACCAACATGACTGACACTCTTTTTTTAAAAAAAAAAAAATTAAAAGTATTTACAAACAAGAGAATCACAAGAAGGGATGATGAAGGATTATTGTGAAAGGATGATCAATCAGTCTATCTAGTCGAGGAGCCGGGTCTGAAGATTAAGGATTTCGATGGTTGTTTGGGGGGGCGTTTTGAGTTTCTTTGGCATGAAGAGACTGGGAAGGTTTTTTGGATGAGCTAGGATTTGAGGCAGGCAAAGAAGAGAGGGGATTCGGCTGTGATTTTTAGGTTTGAGGAGGGAAGCTA